CACAGGAAGTCAGAGGGGCCTGATAAAGACATTTTTGAGCACAGATGTAAAGAAAATGACAAGGGACAAGGATTCCTTGGTGCTGAGAACCCTAGACAGAAAGAAAATAAAGCTCAAAGGCTTGGCTAAAGCAGTGTGCTATGCATGTATGAGGATTAGAAAGGAAACAGTGCAATTGGAGTAGGAAGAATAAGGCAGCAAATGGTCAGGAAGGAAGTCAGACTGGCTGAGTGTGGAGATGAACAGGGATTCATGCCAATAGTACTGACTGTGTTACAGATTTTGGATTTTAGTCTTGGTGAGATAGAAGGCATTGGAGGGCTCTATCGGAGCAGTGACCTGACCTAACTTAAATAACAGAAGAATATAATGACAGAAGCCTAAGAAATAGGATGTGGATGTACTGGTCAAGGCTCCCCATCCACTCCACTGCCACGAAGTCATTTCCATTTTACAGCTGCTGGCCACCGAGTGTCCAAGTTAGAAATCTTTTTGGGAAGAGACTTCCCATCTTTTTTTTTTCTCCCACAGACCAGCTAGTGGATTTGGATGGCCAACCTCTTTGGTTAGCAGCACAATATGAACCCATTATGCTACCAAAGCCCCTTGTCAAAGCTATGGGTGATGGTACTTGAGATAAAGTAACAGAGACCTTGCTCCATAATTCTATTTCACCATTCTACTTCACATTTCTCCTAAATATTTTCATTTAACTGCTATTCATTCATCCTCTACCAAGTGTTTATTAAGTAGTTTATTGTTGTTGTTAGGTGCAGTTGAGTATGACTCATAGCGAACCTAGTCCTATCCTGTGCCAACCTCACAATCTCTGACACACTCGAGCCACTGCAGTCACGCTGTCAATCCAACCGGTTGAGAGTAAGATGTTGGATGGGATCATTTGCAGATGCTCTATCTTACCCTAATAGCATACACTCTCAGATGAAATATAAGATGACTCCGGTGGCCTAGTGGTAAGAATCTGTGCTGTAATCACAAAGACACATGGTTCGAATCTGCCAGCTGCTCTGCAGGAAAAGGATGGGAAATCTCCTCCTTGTGATTCCTGCCTCTGAAAACGCACTGGAGGGTCAGTTATGGGTCTGTTTAGACGCAACAGTATACAACAACAACAGGATGTTAAAGCTTCAAGACATTTGAAATCATCTATTTCTATCACATTATTTAAAGATAGGGATTTAGATATTCAGAGAGGTTAAATCCTTTACTCAAAATCACACAGTAAGACGAAGAGATAAGAGTTAAGATTCAATTTCCCTTACTTTAAAAAAATATATGCAAAATCACTATTTCTACTGAGTTATAAAGTAATTAATATTGTCCTTATTTCAATTATTTTCTTTCACTTCTTCTGATTTAAAAACAATAGCAATGCTCCCCCTCCCCTTTTAGGTTAATATATGTATAAATGCTTTCCAAGATGAGTATTTTTGGATTTTCTAAAACAATCTTTCCTTTAGGAAATCTATATAAGTGACTATGACCTTAATCTATTGACTGGAAGTTCTGCAAATATATCACAGACTAGAAATATCACCAACTTCCCGTAATTACTTGGTGTGCCAATCTCATACCAAAAACGACTCCTTAGATTAAAAACAGTGCTTGCCACATTCCAGAATGGCTTTCATTTGCCTCAGCAATATCCAGAAATTGTTGCTGCTGTGTACTGTTGAGTCGGAACTGACCCATAGCTAACCCTTTAGCAGGCTTTCAGAGGCGGTAAATCAGCAGCATGGGAAGAGATTGCCCCTATTTATACGGTGTTTCTGAGGGTAGGAGGATGTTTCAAATACAATCTTTATTGGAAGAAATGAGAGAGGGATCTAGAACCATGATAAATCCTGAAATTTCCAAATACCAATTTTTTTTTAAGTTTCATAGAACACAAAACTAAGAAGAAAACAAATCCTGTTGAGGATGAAGCAGAATCTGATATGAGTTCTATGATGTAGATCCTTTCTGAATCTAAATGATTAGGTGAATATTCTGCTATGAAATGTTGTTAGGTGCCACTGATATGACGACAACTCCTAGCAACTCTCTGAACAGATCAAAACCCTGCCATATCCTGAGTCATCTACCTGATCTCTGCTATGCTTGAACCTATTGTTATAGCTACCATGTCAATTCATCTAATTGAGAGGCCTTTCCCACAGCATAATGTCTTTTTCCAAGGACTGGCACCCCCAGACATCATGCCCAAAGACTGTTAAATAAAGTTTCACTATCTTTGTCTCCAAGGAGCACCCGGTTATTAAATACTCCCACTAAAGAGTGTTTGTATCTCAATGTTGGCACTTCAGTCACCATGAAGCTTACAATTTCCTTTAGCACTCTGAAGCAGGACTGTTGAAGATGGTATACATAACTTTCTTTGGTTTGTGTAAGTTAGGAAAGACTTCAAGGCCCTAAGGGAACAGAAATGCACCTCTGACCTAATAAGAACGTTTTATCAATTGAGTGGTGGGCAGTCAGGCTTGTTCCTGAGATTAGCAATATGAGCTTCTTGGTAACATAATAAGTGTGAAAAGAGCCATTTCCCAATCATCTTGTTCGTTCCATGCATATTAGAAGACAGGAAAATTCAACTGAGAGTCAATTCTCCCCTAAGAATCTTTCACTTTAATTATGACCACAGTATATTAAACTTCTGTAATACATCCAGGTTAGCTCTGCTGCTCTGGCTTTCAGCAGTGAAAGAAAGAAGAAACCCTTTCACTATTCCAAAAAGAAGGGGAGGAAGCTTTTGTAGATCTGAAACATGGCTGAAAATTCAATTTAACCAAATACCAAGCCAATATGCTTCTTGCAAATGAATGTCTCTTTGTTGCTAATTTTGTGCCATTTTACCTTTCATTTAAAAAAGTAATTCAAGTTAAACTCAGCTGAAGAGCAAAAAGCTCTTGATATTTTGAAGCATTTTGGAACAATTACTTTGACGGGAGCCCTTGACAGTTAAATGACTCTGTTAAATGAATGTTATAGAAGACACATAATGATTTTGAGTGAAATATTGAATTTAACCACAAATGAGGAAAAAAACCAGTCAGAAGCACTGTGGGTATATTTGAATAAGAACATCTTGCTTATGAACCTCAATGTGTACTATAATTCCTAATAATCATGCAATCAACTAGCTACTGGTGGGTATATCATCCATTTTGGTGCTCTTTAATTTTTTTTTTTTACTTTGGATGTTTCTTAAGTGGTCAATAAGGACAATTCTAAATTGGTGTTGACTTCCTCGAACACTGGACAATTAATGAAATGCTACTGCACAGTTGAAGCATTCCTCTTTCCTCATTCTCATTTGCTGAATGGGATTCTTTCACCAATTGCAAAAGTCACCAGAAGTCAAGAGCATGCTGCCTGAGAACGTGTGAACTCATTGCATGCCAGTTTCCTGCATCTGGAAGGCTCAATATTCCTTTTTTATTATACAGCGAGGATGTGAAGATAGCATCAAGGCTTTTACATGTTTTCTCATGACTAATGACCAAAATATGTAGTGAAATAATAAAACTGTTACTGTTCAATTTCCTTTTAAAGTTCAATCCCAATATAAGTAAGAGTGTTCTTGTGATGATAAAAATTCAGCTTCTTATCAAATACTATTTTCTGGAAAAGAAGAGGAGCTAGAAATCCTGTAGACTTAAAATATGAGTGGACTAGTGCTGGGAGGGGATGCTGGAAGTTCTTTATCTTGTTTCTTTGGTAAATTGGCATTAAAGCTATGTGTACTGGTTATGACTTGGATCTATCCACATTTCCTGATTCTTCCAACCAAGTGAGGCACAAGGTTCCCATGTTCCCACCACTTCCTGCATTTATTTTCATTCAGCAATTGCCTTTATGTATAGTAATTGTCTGTTTATGTGACTGCTCTCCACTAGACTGTCACTCTTTGCAAACAGGAAATGTCATTCCATCTTGCATCACACTTAACACTTATGAGTCCCGATAAACTGCATAATGAATGGACTTTGGAAGAAATAAAACTTTTAACTCCTTCATTTGCCAGTGTAAACACATGAGACAGGGCAAATACTTTAAGTATTTGATACTCAGGAATAAAGCAAAATCCAGACATACATTGGTTGCCTCTGTGAGAGCTCAATTACAACCTTGTTACTCAAAGTGTGGTCCAGAGAGCAGCAGCATCGTAACACTTGGGCACTTGATAAAGAAAGAAGTTAGACCCTCTGAATTAGAATGATGATTCTTATGCACAGTGAAGATTGAGAACATTTGCTTATAACATGTGGCAATGATGAGTCTGAGAAAGTGACGGGTGCATGATGGAGTAAAAACCAGGCTCAGCAATATGATTAATAAAGAGGTCTGCTGAGAAAGTTTTAGAACTCTCCCTCTAGACAGCCACTTTATGCTCACAGGTGGGAAACTCACTTGCATCAGTTCTCTTGGAACCCTTTCTAGATAGCTCTTCACGCTCTTGCCTGTTTAAAGACACAGCTGCTCTTAATAATTGTCTTTTCTCCTTGGTGCAAAGAGTATTTATCGTCAGCATACTGACATTTGCAGGAGTTTTGGCTTTTTCCACTGAAAATGTGGATGATTCAAAGAATATTGCTGACACCTGAATAGGAAAAAAAATCCAATGACACCAAGCTATGTAAATTTAATTATTTTCTTTAATTTTTTTCAGGATCTTTTTTTATCCCGTTTCTTGGGCTTTGGAGAAGTCCTAGCAATTTTCATTTAAAAGAAATACAAGTCAGCAGTGGTTCACTGAACAGCCTGACACGCAATTTCATAAGGGGAGAGGCGCTGTGTCTTTAATCTAATTTGTGCTCTCAATTCCCAGCTAATGTATCTGGGGATCCTGATGTATGCATTTACAAGGAGACATCTGTAGTGCAGAGTCCAGCTCTCTGCAATTCTCTGAAACATGGGTAAAAAAATTAGTCTGGGTTCCTGCAGCTGCCCTACAACATGATAAATCTCTATATACTCACAGATGTAGAAATATTCCCGGCCTGGCCTGAATTCAAATCCTAGAGAAAAGGGAGTGAAGAGCTGGAATTTTTCAGAAAACTTCAGCGGTCCATTTGGAGAGTGAGGCCGGTTACATTCCCATCTCTTGAAGCCTTTGGAAGTATGGTCACAGGCACTGTAGCCATCAAAGTTTACCATGTAGAGGACATAACGTTCAGTCTTATCTTCAGGGACAGAGTCCTCATAGTGAGGGCAGAAAACATCCAGGTAGTCATTAATACAGACGTCAATGTGGTAGTCACCCCTCTGGAATCTGTGGGGACAATGAAAAAGAATGAGATTACTCATAGCGGAAAGGCTTTCTGAGTGGAATCAGTGGCGGAACACTTTAATAACACTTAACACTTATGAATTAAGTTGGAGCTAAAAGATTTATTATAGGAAATTTGTATTGCATGGCATTATGATACAGGGTATGATCTGTAATGCTGCAAATAAGCAGCAACAGACCGTTTTAGAGAGGGATTAAAAATGCTCCACAAATGGAGAGCTTCAATTTCATTTAAGTATTACGTTAAATAGTCTTGTTTTCAAAATGAAACTGTATAAAAGTAATGTTTTGCTGTGGTCACCTTTTTCTTTATTCATAAAATCACATATATTGAAGCAAAGTTTTCAAGTTCTTGTAAAAAAACGTGTTTTGCTCAATAAATGCTTCCGAATGAACGAACGAATGAAAGATTGAACAATGAACTAAATTGTTTTTGTTAAAACCGAGACCATTCTCAACATCCTAAGCAAATGTGGAAAATTAGAATCATAAAATTGGGAGAATTAAAATAGTAAAATTTTAAAGCTGGAAAGAAAATTCTTAGAACAACACTTTGATTTTAGAGGAAAATAAAAACCTAAGGCACAAAGATGAAGCAATGAGTAATTGAGCTAGAACAAAGTATTTGAATCCTAGTGCTTTTTTGTCTTTTTTAGTAGATCTGCCTATTTCACAAACACATCCTAGCTTTTCTTTTTTTGATGCTCTGTCTCTTTCTATATTAAGAAAACAGAAGGCATCTAAATCAAATGACTTTCCCCGTATTTTTTTCAATTTTATAGGCTGAGTTTTAGGGTTTCACCGAGGAGGAATCAAAGTAACAAGCCAGATGAAAACAGCAAAAAATCATGGCCAATTCATTCTGAATTAGTGAAAACACACACACCATTGCACATACGATATTATCTGCTTCAATTCTTGTCTTATAAAAGTTTTGCTTTTATGTTTTAACTAATACAACTTTACCCATCAGTGGAATAATATTTTCTAGCATAAACACTCCCCCCTTAGTATGGTCTATGAAAAGGGAATTGTTATGGATACAATTTCCTCTAAAATCAGGGTAGAAAAGCCTACAGAATCCTTGCTTTTAGTTAGCAAGGAAATCTTTTTCTGAGCCTTTGGAAGGTTCATCATAAAACCATGTTACTGCTGAAATACAATGCCCATAAAGTCACATAATCCTCGAGTCGGACTGCATGAACACTTCCCCGTGCTGGTGAGAATAGCCTATTTCTTTCTTGGACAACTCTAAATGTTAAAAAAGTTTTTTGGGTTCCCCCCCCCTTCTTAGTTTAAGCATAAATCTGCTTCTGTGTAACTCCTATCCAGTGATCCTGGAATTACAAAGAACAAATCTAATTCCTTCTCCACACAGTAGTCCATAAAACATTTGGGGATGTCAGCTATGTCTCCCTGTATCCTCCTTTCTCCAGATTTGAAAATCCTGATTCCTTTGACTATTTCTGGAATAGTTCCCAGGCTTCTCATCATTCTAGTTTCTTGCTCCTCCTCATGTCCTTCAAATTGCCAGTATTCTTTTTTTTGAAAACACAGAACACCACACAGAAGAGCCCAGAATGATGGCGTGACGGACATAAATCCCAGTGTGTGCTAAGGCCTTCACAATGGAAGCTGCATGTTTATTGACAGAGATGATGGTCTGTTTGGAGATGAAGCACCATAAAAGTAGAAGCATTACTAATTCTAAACGAGTGGATCTAGATTTAAGGAGTAGATCTGTTGCTAATTGAGTGGGAGGTGCATAAACCATCTACTTCCTTTTTTTCATAGGCAGGTAAGAGTAAGAAAGAAAATCTACCTTGTTGCCCTCACCTGGCTGCTTCAAGCCTCAGTGAGGAAACATGAAAAGCAGTAAGCAAGGCAAAGAATTGCTATTATCAGGAAAGATAAAAGTATATCACAATAGGCAAATAGCAGAACACTGATCGTGACATAAGAGCGGTAGGAATATGCTCTCCAAAATACGCTGCCTTGAATCGATTCTGATTCATGGGGATATTCCAACACAGATCAGAACTGTCCCACAGAGCTCCTTTCTTGTAAACCTCTCCAGAAGCTTACTTCTTCACCTTTCTGTCTTGGAGTGTGTAAGTCCTAACTGCTAACCTTTTGGTTAACCGTTTAACGCTTTAACTACTGTGCCACCAGAGCTCTTAAGAACATCCTATTGGTATTAAAAAATGTCCCTACTTTTGCCCTTCATAAAAAAAAAAAAAACACACCTCAGAAGAAAAGAAACCATATGAAAATTCTAACGACTGTCTTCAAATATCAAATGATCCACAGAAATCCCATCTGACCCACGCTTTTGAAAAGCAGCATACTGGTTCACACAAGGAAAATAGAGAAAGGCTATCAGAATATTCATTTTTCAGTTAGAGAATCCCAAAACACATAGCCATTTTTTAAATAAAACAGACAACCCTCGGAAGTATTTATTTCTTTGCTTATCTTTATATTTACAACAATCATGGAGCTGGGTTTACTTTTTCTTCATTACTGGCAGACAACGATTTGTCAAGATGCAAGGAAAGCCTGTGTTGCTTTTAAGAGATTTTTTAACATCAAGGTAACATCACTGCCAAAGTACAAAGAAAAGACACTGCAACGTTCAGATAAAAGGGTGCTGGGATATGAATCATCAGCACTCAGAGTAGCCTGACAGCTTTGGATGAGAGCCAGACAAGAAATGCAGCAGAAGGCAATGCCCAGATGCACTTTATATTATTATATTATTATTATAGATTTTAAAGACATTCAAGGGAGAAGTTTTTTCCTTTCCCTGAGTGTCACTCATTTTAGCGTCTACGAGCACTTGGCAATACTTAAAAGTTAAAATAAAAATGAAAATGGTCACCATTCATATCTATTCTACTGTACCTTTATTCTACAAATTATGGCATTCTTTGATACTTCAGCCTAGTGATAAGGAGGTGCGATGCTAATCCAAAGGCACATGGTTCAAATCCAACAGGTGTTCCAGAGAAAAATGGACATTCAACTTCCATGCTTCTGAAAACCTGCTACAGGGTCAGTTATGAGTCCTGTTCCAACTGGATGACGCATAACAGCAGTAACAACTAATTTAAAGGTGTTTGTCTTTCACCAACGTCTTCGAGGCAGGTAAGGAACAATCTCCTGTGATTTACAGCCTCTGAAAGTCTTCTGTAGGGTTAGCTGTGAGTTAGTTCTGATTTGATGGTAAAAAGTTTGAGGGTTTCTCATCCCCCTCTAATGTTTAATCCTGTTCAAATTTTAACGAGCAAATCATATGGCTGGTCAATAGTGGTTGACCAATTATGTGTTCTGGAGAATTTCCCACGTGGGTGGTTATGTGAACCATCATGGAGTCCATTTTAAACATGGGTCTACCACGCAGATTAGACTGTTGACTCTTTCATCCACACATGAAAGAAAAATGATTCCCTACAAAATGAACTCAGACTCTGTTTCTTTCACATTTTCACTTGGTGTGAAATAGTTTACTGCTATAAACTGCAGCACAGTTAGAAATTTCCCAAGAAGCAAGGATGACAAGACTTCATCTCAAATACTTGGAAATTGTGTTCAGAAAGGACTAATCTCTGGAGGAGGACATGACACTTGGTAAAGCAGAGGAGCAGTGAAAAGAGGAGACCTTCAATGAGACAGACTGAAATGATGATTGAAATAATGGGCTCAGAGCAGTAACTCTGAGGATGGCTCAGTGTGTTGTTCAAAAGGTCACTGTGAGTTAGAACTGACAAAAAAGTACCTAACAGCAATATAAATAAAAATGTACACACAGAAATTTTTAAAAAAAATGCTAAATTGGAATTCACATAGCCTACCCATGTACAATCCAATGAAGATTTTTGAGACCAGATAAATTAGAACTACTCCAAATCATCATGTCCTCTGTGTACAAAGTAGCCCTGAAGCATGCTTTTCTGGCTTTATTACAAAGCTAGTATTTACTGATTATTTATTACATTAAATGCTGGGCTGATAACTGAATGGTTGGTCATTTGAACCAAGAAGCCAATCCAAGGGGAAAAGATGAGAGTCTCCCCCTGTAAAGATTTAGTCATGAAAACCCTATGAAACAGTTCTGCTCTGTTCACAGGGTGCATATGAATGGGAAATGACTCCAGGGAAGTGGATTTGGGTGGGTATATTACATGTAGAATCTCAATTTAAACTCTTCTACAATCACACAGAAAAGGCATTATCACATCCATTTATAGAAGATGAAACTGACACCAGAAAGTCAAGCAATGTGTCTAATGTTAAATACACACAACTATCACAAGGTGGAAACAGAATTTAAAGCCAAGCAATTGGACTTTATAATTGAAACTCTTACCCAACTAACTTTTCTAAGAGACTAAATTACTAATGTCAGGTTGTTAGGTCTACTTTGTATTTCTTCACAGAAAATTCTCCTTCTTGAGGTGGTTTTCATTTCCCTCTTCATTCACTGACACAATTAATACTTGTCACATTCAGGATCTGCGGTGTACTTTAGACATGCTATCATACAAAATCCTTCAAACAGGATTGTTTGCGTTGTTACATTCCATCAAGTCAGAGCCAACTTATAACTGACCTTCCAATGAGTTTTCAGAGGATGTAAATCCCATGGGAGAAGATTGCTCATCTTTCTCCCATGATACTCCCATGGATTCGTGGATTTGAACTGTGTGCCTTAGAGTCGACAGCAGTGTTATTCCTTAACATTAATTACATTTTATCAGTAAGGTATTATCTTTCCTCAATTTTTTTTTTACCACAAGCACATAGTAGAGTTAGAACTCAGATCCAGGTTTTATGTAATTCTGAAGCATATTCTCTCCTTTTAATCACGATGGATCCAAAGCCCTAGTAGTTGTGGAAATTCTTCCCACTAGATAAACCATTGAATTAATTGTCATTCATAGTGACTCTATGCTTCTGAGAACTGAATAGCAATGACAGAA